GGGGTCAAGGGGGCCTCCCACCTCAGCCTCCCAAGCAGCTGGGATTAGCAGCTACCAGGCCCGGCTAATTTTTGTATTTTTCATAGAGATGGGGTTTCACCATATTGCCAGGCTGGTCTCGAACTCCTGACCTCAGGTGATCTGCCCGCCTTAGCCTTCCAAAGTGCTGGGATTTACAGGCGTGAGCCACTGAGCCCGGCCTCATTTTATCTTTCTATAATAATATTCAACTTAGAGGAAGAATGATTTGAATAGCATTTAGACATTAAATGGTGAACGTCGCATTGAACAGATAAATAATGAAAGGGCAAAATCAACTTAAAATTAGAAAAGTAGGGAGACAGCTACAACCACTCTTCTGCTTGCCCACTGACTACCAACATATTTCAGGTAATAATTCTCCTAGGTGCCTAACAAGATAAACGAATTCACTCAAATACGTTATCTGCTTAATTTCTGGTTTTTGTGTGCCTACTATAGGAAAGCACTGAGCCAAAAGAATGTAAACGGGAATGAGACAAGACTCCAACTCTCAAGAGAAACTAAACACCAATATGGATAGGACAGCATTGGGCAGTGTATCATAAATAAGGATGATCTAGAGAAGTCCCCAAGAGAGAAAAAAAGGCAAATCCTCCCTCTAGGCCATGAAAACCCCACATCTAAAGACCGTCCCAATCTAACGGAGAATGGGGCCAGGAAGGATAAGCAGTGCGTCCTTTTCTATTTTTACTGAGTTTTGAAAGGCCCCTTCAGAGTCCTTCAGTCATGGCAATTGGTGGGTGGGGACAGGGATCAACTGGTAAATAAAATGACTAAATGGATTTGCAAACTCATGTTCCATCCTCTTGCAGGCCTCCAAAAAGAAATGGCTCACGCCTGTAATCCCAGCACTTTGGGAGGCCGAGGCGGGCGAATCACTTGAGGTCAGGAGTTCGAGACCAGCCTGGCCAACACGGTGAAACGCCGTCTCTACTAAAAATACAAAAATTAGCCCAGCGTGGGGAGAGGCTGAGGCAGGTCAATCACTTGAACCCGGGGGGCGGAGGTTGCAGTGAGCCGAGATGGCGTCACTGCACTCCAGCCTGGGCGACGGACGAAACGAGACTCCGTCTCAAAAAAAAATAATAAAGAAAAGAAATGACTCAGTTATTTGTTTCACTGTTCGCACGGACAGCTTGGCTCTGGGGTCCTTACATTCGGGCTGTAACTGGAAAAATGTGTCCATCAGGCACCAGAACCCAATTCACAAACAAAGCCAGGAACGTCCCAAACAGCTGCAGCCGAGGTTTGGGATAAGGAAGTGAGGCTTTCCTGTCAACCTAAACCTGGCCGCTCAGGACCCGGAAGAAGCAGCCAAGAGTTAAGACGCAAACTGCAGGACTGATGCACAATCCGAGTCTCCCTCAGCGGTTCTCCAGGTTCTTGGCGCCAACACGAGCCCCGGGCTCCGTCCCCTGCTGGAACTATTCAGACGCGCAAGACACGTAACCAGCAGTCCTCCGCCCCGTTAAATAGTCCTGCCTAGGATGCCTCGGTGACGCACTTTTCCACCTCAGAAGTCCCTCAGCAGATATGCGATGAGCCTCGGGGGTGCATCATCTTTCTGTTCGAATGGGAGTATGGGTTTTCTGATCATTTTCCCTTCACAGATTCCTCCGCCAGAAATCTTACTCGCGGCGTCTTCATTTCCGGGTCCGCCATTTCCTTGCCTCTGTTTCTCCACGAGGGGGGGTTAAAGGCCCCCAAAACATGCACACATGAAAAGGGCAAAAAGTAACCGTCCTTGACAGGCAGTCTTAACTAGAGAAGGAAACGGGACTAAACTGGCGGGCTCCGTGGAAGCGCGGCCGGCAGCGTCCCGGACGAGGAGGTGAGGGGAAAGAAGAGATGTGTGGACTCCGGGGGGCGTCAGGGCTGGAAAGGAAAGTGCCGTGAGAAGTCACACCGCTTCCCAGCCCAGCCTCGGACTTCTGGGTGCGGACCGCGCGGCTCCCCGTCACCGAAGCGGGGGCAGCTGGGGGAGGGGGACGGAGAGGAAGGGGATGCTGTCGGGAGGAAGGGGAGGGGACTGGAAGGAGGTGAAGAAGGGGGTGGGTGTAAGACCTGGGGCTGGGGAGCTGGACCAAGGGAAGCCCAGGCCGCGGAGGTGACCACTAGGGGGCGAGGCGGAGCCGGAGCCGAGGCCTGTCGCCAGAGGCTGAGTTTGGCTCCCTGCCCCAAATTGGTTCCCATCTTTCGGACAGACATTGGTGTGAGGAACTGTAGGGTTTATGATAGAGAGGGAAACGGCGACCCTCATTCTCTGACCCTAATAATGACCTGAAAGATAAATAGTGAACTCGGTAATCTGAACGAGAGCAGTGTGGGTCCCGCCTCTGCTTTTTTGCTTTTTTTTAAGACTGAGTCTCGCTCTGTCACCCAGGCTAGAGTGAGTGGCGCGATCTCGGCTTACTGCAACCTCCAGCTCACTGCAGTCTCCGCCTCCCGGGTTCAAGCGATTCTCCTGCCTCAGCCTCCCGAGTAGCTGGGATTACAGGCGTGTGCCACCGTGCACAGCTAATTTTTGTATATTTTTAATAGAGACAGGGTTTCACCATGTTAGCCAGGCTGGTCTCGAACCCCTCACCTTAGGTGATCCGCCCACCTTGGCCTTCCAAAGTGCTGGGATTACAGGCGTGAGCCACGCTCCCGGCCTCGACTCCGTTTCTTTCACAGTTTGTACAGCTGGCCGCCCAGTGGGGACTTGAGCAATACTAAAAGAAACATAGATTCTTCCATTGCAATTCTCCTTTCCGTTGGCTGTCTCCTGTTCTCACATACTTCCTTGAGCCAGAGGTCATCCCATTCCTCTCCCTTTTCCCGAAAGGGCTTTCTCTCTAGAGGGTCCCCCCACCCCATTGTCTTTGGAAAAGGACAATCTATGGCTTACTATCAACAATGTAACAAAATTTTGGCCATCCATTCATTTAATCACTTGGTCCACCCAATCCAGTAGAGGTGTTCTTAGACATGTATTTTCACACCTGCTTTGATGACAGTAAGGACAAAAAACCCATCCAAATTCTTAAATAAACAAAAGTAATTAATTACTCTTAGATAATAGAATACTTTGTTGTCAAGAGCTCAAGCACTTCATGAATTATTAAAACACACACTCATTGAAAGGTTTTGGCCGGGCGCAGTGGCTCACGCCTGTAATCCCAGCATTTTGGGAAGCTGATGTGGGAGGATCCCTTGAGCCCTGGAGTTCTAGACCAGCCTGGGCAAAATAGGGAGACCCCTGTCTGTGCAGAGAAAAAAAGAAAAAAAAAAAATTTAATCATTTGGGCGTGGTAGTGCCCACTGGTGGTCCCAGCTACTCGGGAAGCCGAGGTGGGAGGATCGCTTGAGCCCAGGAGGTCGAGGCTGCAGTGAGCCGTGATTGCGCCACTGCACTCCAGCCTGGACCAGAGAGTGAGGCCCTGTCTCTTTAAAAAACAAACAGGCTGGGCGTGGAGGCTCTCGTCTGTAATCCCAGCACTTTGGGAGGCCGAGGAGGGTGGATCACCTGAGATCAGGAGTTCGAGACCAGCCTGGCTAACATGGTGAAACCCCATTTCTACTAAAAATACAAAAAATTAGCAGAGTGTGGTGGCACACGCCTGTAATCCCAGCTACCCAGGAGGCTGAGGCAAGAGAATGGCTTGAACCCGGCAGGCGGAGGTTGCAGTGAGCCGAGATCATACCATTGTACTCCAGCTTGGGCAACAAGAGCAAAACTCCATCTCAAACAAACAAACAAACATACTTTATCCAATCCCCTATTGATATATATTTAGGTTCTTTTCAATCTTTTTATTTATTTTTATTTTTAGAGACAGGGTCTTGCTCAGTACTTTATTCCATTCCCTACTGACATATATAGGTTCTTTTCCATCTTTTTTTATTTTTTATTTATTTTTATTTTTAGAGACAGGGTCTTGCTCAGTCACCCAGGCTGGAGTGCAGTGATCATAGTTCATCGCAGCCTCAAACTCCTGGGCTCAAGCGATCCTCCCGCCTTAGCCTCCTGAATAGCTAGGACTACAGGTGTGGGCCACCACACCCTGCTAATTTTTTTATTTTTGTATTTTTGTAGAGACAGAGTCCCTCTGTGTTGTCCCAGCTGGGCTCGAATTCCTGGCTTCAAGAGATCCTCCTGCTTTGGCTTCCCAAAGCACTGGGATTTATTTTATTCATCTCCAAAATCCTAGAAGGCATGTGAGACAGATTTTGTTTCCTCAGTTTATGTATAGGGAAAGTGGAGGTACAGCCAGCAAGGGAGAATATTGTTAGTTGTTGGGAGTCAAGGAGTCAGAAGTGCGCAGACTGTTTTCTGGTGTATCAGGCTTCATCTCTTGTCTGGTCGATGGGCCACCAGGCAAGTATTGACCACCTGCCAGAAACAGCATTGACAAGGTACTGGGAGAATGGCACATAGTTCCCCTCAAAATGCTATGGGTTTTTTTGTTTGTTTTTTGTTGTTTTGTTTTAAGTGAAAGCAAGTCGATTGAGAAAGTAAAGGAAGGCTGGGCGCAGTGGCTCATGCCTGTAATCCCAGCACTTTGGGAGGCTGAGGCGGGCAGATCACGAGGTCAGCAGTTCGAGACCAGCCGGGCCAACATGGTGAAACCCCGTTTCTAATAAAAATACAAAAATTAGCTGGGCATGGTGGCGGGCATCTGTAGTCCAGCTACTCGGGAGGCTGAGGCGGGAGAATCACTTGAACCCGGGAGGCGGAGGCTGCAGTGAGCCAAGATCACGCCACTGTACTCCAGCCTGGTGACAAAGGAGTCTCTGGCTAAAAAAGAAAGTAAAAGAATAAAGAACGGCTACTCCATGGGCAGTATTTTTATGGTGATTATATGCTAAACATGCCTCCTCTTTTTTTTTTTTTTTTTGAGATGGAGTCTCAGAGTCTCCCTCTGTTGCCCAGGCTGGAGTGCAGTGGCGTGATCGCAGCTCACTGCAAGCTCCGCCTCCTGCCTCAGCCTCCTGAGTAGCTGGGATTACAGGCGCCCGCCACCAAGCCCGGCTAATTTTTTCTGTCTGTATTTTTAGTAGAGACGGGGTTTCACTGTGTTAGCCAGAATGGTCTCGATCTCCTGACCTCATGAGGTGCCGGCCTCAGCCTCCCAAAGTGCTGGGGATTTTTGTAAACTGCCATGGCATCGCACTGGTGGGAGTGTAGCAGAGAGGACAACCAGAGGTTACTCTTGTCCTCTTGTCACCAAAAGCATCTTGCTTTTGGTGGGGTTTTAGCCAGCTTCTTTACTGTGGCCTGTTTTATCAGCAAGGTCTTTATGATCTGCATCTCGTGCTGATCTCCTATCTCATCCTGTGACTAAGAATGCTTTAACTGGCTGGGCACGGTGGCTCACACCACTTTGAGAGGCCAAGGTGGGTGGATCACTTGAGGTCAGGAGTTCGAGACCAGCCTGGCCAACATGGTGAAACCCTGTCTCTACTAAAAATACAAAAATTAGCCAGACAGTAGTGGCACGTGCCTGTAATCCCAGCTACTCGGGAGGGTGAGGCAGGAGAATTGCTTGAGCATTAGAGACAGAGGTTGTGGTGAGCCGAGATCATGCCACTGCACTACAGTCTGGGCGACAGTGTGAGACAGTCTCAAAAAACAAAACAAGGGCCGGGTGCGGTGGCTCATGCCTGTAATCCCAGCCCTTTGGGAGGCTGCGGCGGGCAGAGGTCAGGATATCGAGACAATCCTGGCTCACAGAGTGAAACTCCATCTGTACTAAAAATACAAAAAACTGGCCGGGCATGGTGGCTCACGCCTGTAATCCCAGCACTTTGGGAGGCCCAGGAGGGTGGATCACGAGGTCAGGAGATCAAGACCATCCTGGCTAACACGGTGAAACCCCATCTCTACTAAAAATACAAAACATTAGCTGAGCGTGGTGGTGGGCGCCTGTAGTCCCAGCTACTTGAGTGGCTGAGGCAGGACAATGGCGTGAACCTAGGAGGTGGAGCTTGCATTGAGCCTGGGCAACAGAGCGAGACTCCGTCTCAAAAAAAAAAAAAAAGCCAGGCAGGAGACTGAGGCAGGAGAATCGCTACAACCTGGGAGGCAGAGGTTGCAGTGGGCTGAGATTGTGCCACTGGACCCCAGCCTAGGCAACAGAGAGAGACTTCATCTCAAAAAACACCCCCCCAAAAAAACATAAAACAAAAAAAGATTGTCTTAATGAGAATGCAGCCCAGTAGGTCTCAGCCTTATTTCACCCAACTCCTATTCAAGATGGAGTTTCTCTGGTTCAAACACCTCTGACACTTCTCCCCTCCCTTTTATTGGAGAGCCCTTAATCCTAGGGGTTACAAATGAATAAAGATCCATCTTCTGTAACTTTTTCAGGCTGAATAGGGGCGATGATATTCCTGCCTGACTCTTAGGGTTTCTTGTATTCAAGGGTTCAGAGAGGAGCTCAGTCAGAAAGCATCAGTATGGTGAGAGCTATTCATAACTCCAACAAAAGGTGGTATCTGGAAGATGAAAAAGTGTTCAGTTTAAGACAACATAACAGGCTTATCCTGCATTCCTACACAAAGAGTACAACAGCAATATACTCCACAACAGTAAAGCAAAATAAGCAAAACTGTCCCAAGTAAACTAAATAAGAAGGTTTTCTGTGAACTGGGCAACTGTTGGAACCAAGCTGATTTAGGGTTACTAGCTGATTCCAGTACTGTGCCCAGAATTAGAATATTGATCCAAATTTTTACATTACCCATCCCTTTTGTTTCTTTTGAGCAGCAGCCAGAGATCACTGGTTGGTTCACAGGAATAAGCAGGGTTAGTCTAAATTGCAGAAAAAAACTTAAAAACGATTGATGAGACTAGAAATTTTTTTTGTTTGTTTTTTTTGAGACAGAGTCTTACTCTGTCACCTAGGCTGGAGTGCAGTGGCCAGTGGCACAATCTCGGTTCACTGCAAGCTCTGTCTCCTGGGTTCAAGCAATTCTCCTGCGTCAGCCTCTGGAGTAGCTGGGATTACAGGCATGCGCCACCACGTCTGGCTAATTTTTGTATTTTTACTAGAAACGGGGTTTCACTGTTTTGGCCAGGATGGTCTTGAACGCCTGACTTTGGGTGATCCACCTGCCTCGGCCTCCCAAAGTGCTGGGATTACAGGTGTGAGCCACTGCGCCTGGCCAGTCTCCCATTTTTACTAAAGGCAAATCATGGTAAAATAGATTGGGTTTATTATACTTGGTCTGATTATTTGTATAAAGTGCAGCAAGAATGATGATTTTTCACATAGGCTTTTAAAATTGGCTTTGAAAGAACTCTGTTCCATAAAAGGAATCTCCCATAAGACTTACAAAGCCAATTAAAGCCCCTTGGGAAAACTGGCCTCATACCTTGTCTAAAGTCCCTGTACAGGGTTCCTGATGTGTGGTAAGTAAAGAATGTCACTTTTTGACAGGCCCAGGAGCCCCAAATTATCCTGGGACCTCAGGAGGGGAGGAATTTATCCAACTCATAGCTTTTTTTTGTTTTTGTTTTTGTTTGTTTTTTGAGACAGAGTCTCACTCTGTCACCAGGCTGGAGTGCAGTGGCACGATCTCAGCTCACTGCAGCCTCCACCTCCCAGGTTCAAGTGATTCTCCTGCCTCAGCCTCCCGAGTAGCCAGGACTACAGGTGCACACCACCACGCACAGCTAATTTTTGTATTTTTAGTAGAGACAGGATTTCACCACGTTGGCCAGAATGGTCTCTCTCTTGACCTTGTGATCCGTCCGTCTCAGCCACCCAAAGTGTTGGGAGTATAGGCATCAGCCACCGCACCCAGCCGCTCATAGGTATTTGAGAGTATAAACCCACGGCTGGGCTGGGCTTTAAACAAAAAGAGAGGAGAGGCCAGGCGCAGTGGCTCATGCCTGTAATCCCAGCACTTTGGGAGACTGAGGCAGGTAGATCACAAGGTCAGGAGTTCAAGACCAGCCTGACCAACATGGTGAAACCCTGTCTCTACTAAAAATACAAAAATTACCTGGGCATGATGGCGCATGCCCGTAATCCTAGCTACTCAGGAGGCTGAGACAGGAGAATCGCTGGAACCTGGGAGGCAGAGGTTGCAGTGAGCCAAGATCATGCCACTGCACTCCAGCCTGGGCAACAGAGCGAGACCCCGTCTCAAAACATAATAATTTTCTTTAGAATAATAAAAATAAAGGCCAGGCACAGTGGCTCACGCCTGTAATCCCAGCACTTTGGGAGGGTGAGGCAAGTGGATCCCCTGAAGTCAAGAGTTCAAGACCAGCCTGGCCAATATGGTGAAACCCTGTCCCTACTAAAAATACAAAACTATCCAGGTGTGGTGGCACGCGCCTGTAGTCCGAGCTACTCAGGAGGCTGAGACAGGAGAATTGCTTGAACTAGAGAGGTGGAGGCTGCAGTGAGCCGAGATCACACCACTGCACTCCAGCCTGAGTGAGACTTCATCTCAAAAACAACAACAAAGAAGAAAAAGAAAAATACATTTTACTTTTTTTGTTGTTGGTTTTGTTTGTTTGTGTGAGACAGTCTTGCTCTGCTACCCAGGCCGGAGGGCAGTGGCACAATCTTGGCTCACTGCGACCTCTGCCTCCCAGGTTCAAGTGATTCTCCTGCCTCAACCTCCTGAGTAGCTGGGATTACAGGCATGTACCACCACGCCTGGCTAATTTTTGTATTTTTAGTAGAGGCAGGGTTTCACCATGTTGGCCAGTCTGGTCTCCAACTCCTGACCTCAAGTGATCTGCCCGCGTCTGCCTCCCAAAGTGCTAGGATTACAGGCGTGAGCCACCGTACCTGGCTACATTTTACTTTTTCGTAAGATGGATGCTTCAGGTTAACCCAAAAGAGTAACTGAGGATAGGAGGAGAAAAGAGCCTTGAAGAATGCATTTCTAGATCTTTCCTATATTAGGAGATAAATATAGCACCCTATTTACATTCTAATCCCAAAGTTTAATTATATCTCTATATAGTAAGAAATACGGCTTTAAAATCATGCCTTGTTGAAAGAATGGGATGATGGATTTGAGTTGGTTGTCATTTAGTAGTATTGATATGTGACAGAAAGATGATTAAAGAAGAGTGATAGGCCAGGTGCCGTGGCTCACGCCTGTAATCCCAGCACTTTGGGAGGCTGAGGCTGGTGGGTTACTTGAGGTCAGGAGAGTTCAAGACCAGCCTGGTCAACCTGATGAAACCCTGCCTCTATTAAAAATACATAAATTAGCCAGGCGTGGTGGTAGGTGCCTTTAACCCCAGCTATTCAGGAGAACGAGGCAGGAGATTCGCTTGAATCCAGGAGGCAGAGGTTGCAGTGAGTGGTGATTATGCCACTGCACTCCAGCCTGGGAAACAGAGTGAGACCCTGTCTCAGTAAATAAATACGTAAATACGATAAATGTAGATACGAAAGCAGACTACAATGGAAAACACTGGTCAGAAACATTTTGCGACCGGGCACAGTGACTCACGCCTCTATCCCAGCACTTTGGGAGGCCGAGGCAGTGGATCACCTGATGTCAGGAGTTCCAGTCCGGGCTGAGCAGAATGGTGAAACCCTGTCTCTACTAGGAATACAAAATTTAGCTGGGCGTGGTGACACATGCCTGTAATACCAGCTACTCGGGAGGCTGAGGCAGGAGAATCGCTTGAACCCAGGAGGCGGAGATTGCGGTGAGCTGAGATTGCACCATTGCACTCTAGTCTGTCTAACAAGAGCAAAACTCTGTCACACACACACACACAAAAATAATAATAATAATAATAATAATAATAATAATAATAATACATTGCCGGGCACAGTGGCTCATGCCTGTAATCCCAGCACTTTGGGAGACTGAGGCGGGTGGATCACCTGAGGTCAGGAGTTCGAGACCAGCCTTGCCAAGATGGTGAAACCCCTTCTCTACTAAAAATACAAAAATTAGTCGGGCGTGGTGGCACATGCCGGTATTCCTAGCTGCTCAGGAGGCTGAGGTAGGAGAATCGCTTGAACTTTGGAGACAGAGATTGCAGTAACTGGGGATCTTGCCATTGCATTCCAGCCTGCACAACAAGAGCAAACCTCTGTCTTAAAAAATAAATAAATATAT